GGGTCTTAATTCTGAATCTTGATGTAAAAGTATTTTGGATTTTCTACCTTTTCATACCTGAAATTTCTGGTGTTGTGGTGCTATTGGGTCTGGAATCACAGAACGGTTGGGATCCAAGGGGACCTCTGGAGGTCATTGGGTCCAACCCACCTGCTACAATAGGGTCACCTGGAGCCAGCTGCCCAGGACTGTGTCCAGGTGGCTTCTGAGTATCTCCAAGGATGGTCACATTACAAGTATTACAAAGTATTCTAATAGCATAGGAACTTCCTTGCATTTTCAATATTTAATTTCCCAATTTAGGGACCAATTTCAGGAAGTATTTAGGCACCTAAACATACAGACAGGGAACAAAGCACAAATGTTTTGATACCTGAACAACACTTAAAAATGGGTTGGATTTCTAGGGGCCAAGTAATTTAAAATGACATCAAGGCTCCAAAATACTATGACGTTCTGAAACTTTGAAAATTTGAAGTATTGAACACTTTTTTGTTCTTTTTGTGTGTGTGGTGATATAATTGCTTATGCTTTTTCTGCTTCCTTTATAAAGTCCAAGGAATACACAATAGAGTTCATATTAATTTTTTTATATTTATATTAATCTTCAGATGTTAGCACAATCTTTTTTTATTTGAAAGTAGCTAACAAAAAACTCTTTTTCCTCTGGATAATGAAACTTGACCTTTTTCTTTCTACAAGTTTTAGCATTTTAATACTTCTCTTGCAAAGTCCGTCATCTCAGCTAGCGAATGAATTGCTAATAATTAATAACGTAAAACCAAATCTTGTGTGTTGGGTTTTTATTTGTTTTCAGATATATTAAAACCTGACAATCATAGGTCTGTTTTCTTTGCCTTCACAGAATGTCTTTAAAAACTCTGCGTCATCAGACCATTGAATTGGCTTAATGTTTTGGAGACTAATTTTGACATCAATAAGTTTCCTCTGCTGCAAAATACCATTTTTGGAAGATCTTGTCTGCAGAGGATTCTTCTCCCATTGTCCTGTCTGTTTAGTCCAAGACAGCTTTTACCTCTGATGCTTGACTTGAGCTAGTTAGCCACAAAGAGCAAAAAATGTGTCACAAACCATCCCTTTTAAAGCACAATTGCTACCTTCTGAGACTTTTCTTAAGGTTTTTCTTGAGAATTTTGGTTTATATGCAAGAATCTGGAATCTGTGAGCTGCTAAATCCAGTTCTTCTGGGTGAGCTTTCATATTATATCCCAGTATTCATGTAATCCTATATATTGTATCACCATTCAGATAATTACAGCAGTAATGACCTTTTTGATAAATCAGCTTGAAACTTTCTGTTATGTTTTAGAGATTTCCTTTTTTCCAGCTGTAAAACCTTTTGGGTAATTTACAACTAGATATCTAGCAAATCCCTTTCCAGGTAACTCTAAATTTGTATTTTTGATCTGTGTTTTCCTTCACTTCCTTCATTGTTGCCAGTTGCCTTCTGCAGTTGAGCATTCTCTTTTTGGCTAGTCTCTGACCTCCATCTCGTATAGGAAGTTATCTCCTACTCAGCAGTGAGGCTAAAGTAGTGAAACTGCTACTTCACTGCCCACTATTAATAGGCTTATACTACAGGGACCTTTGAAAAGAGATTAAGGACTATTAATCACAGACTAGTGTCTGTGACTACATTGAGTGCACTAGTGAATACTGCTGTTGCTTAGGATCACATCAGAGTTCTATTTATAGATGTCAAGCTATTGGGCTTGTCTCTGGTAAAGCAATTGAAGAGATCTTGTAATCTTTGTCAGAAAAGGTCATGTCTGAAATGGAAATTCTTTTAGTCCAGAATTATTTGTATAAAAGAGAGTCTAAAATAAGAGAAGGTTAAGACAATCCAGCTGGTTTTTGCTGCTGTTCCACACCCCGGCTGCCTGGTCCTACCTCATCTTTTGCCTCCATTCTGGCACACGTTTGTTCCTGTATTGAGCTGTTTAGTTTGGTAAATCAGTGAAAGCTAAATCAACAAAACCCAATTTTCTACTGGTTTAGAAAGCAGAAGCAAGTGTGGGCTGAAACGAATACCAGAGCTAGGACAGTGGAGAGGTCAGGGAACGGAGAGTGTCAGCCAGTGAGGAATGAGGCTGCTAAGCCAAAGTAAAGGTAGGGATTAATGCATCTGGCTGTCACATACATCATTCTGATAAATCTTTGAACTATAATGCTGTGCTATAACATGTCTAAAGGCCCTACATGATCAATCCAGAGTAAGCACTGAATAGGAAAATCAATTGCTTATTTGTGATACTGTTGGTGTAAATCTTTATTCTGCCTAAATGCTATTACTATAAATGGTTATTTTAATTTCATACGGACAGTACATCAACAACATGTTTATCTAACACTATTTCTAAAGGCATGTTTATGCTCTCTGAGCTGTGGATTGTTACAACCCATTCCTGTACTAGCCACATGAATTTATAGCTCCAGCTATTTTAATTATCATTTGATAACAATAATTACTATGCTTGATGTTGAAACAAGAAGAATAATGCTAAGTATGCATAGCAAGCAGATGACTTGCTGTAAATCTCAAAGACAACTAATTAGATCTCATTTGATAATTTCCATGAGATGAGCAATGTTCTATCCCAGCTGCCAGTTGAAGTAATCTCCTAAACTTGTCCAGCAGTATTAGTGAGCTAAAAAGAGTTCATGAGAAGTTTTGGCTCCTAATTTGTGTTAGACTGAGCTACAGGTAGAATACTTAGATGCAATTGTGTCCGGTTTTTGAGATCATGATCATTTATTTGGGATCTAACGCTGCTGAACTTCAGATGAGGCTTAGGATCTTCAGTTGTTTATTTACTTTTGAAAATACTGCCTGGTATTTTGATGCAGCGAAACTTTACTTGATCCAGTCTGAATATCTATATTGACTATCTATAGGAGTATAGTCCTGTGTATATAAAGATACTGTGTTATCCTATAGGAGTATACTACAGGAGAAAATGATAAAATTATCATTGTTTTGAAATGCAATTCACATTTAATTTTTTTTCCATTAATGTGCAGAGTAACTTTGTCTTGAAGAGGATAGAATATACGTTTTAGATTACTTATTAAAAGCAGAAAAAATGCATTTGAGAAGCCATTTTTTCTTTCTAGGAACTAATAACTTTCTTTCAACTAATAAATAAAATGACTACAACTAATGTGGTATCAGTGAGTACTTTTGTTATTGTGTTTAAGCAACCGAGTCCGAATCGGAGAGAGGACAGGCCTGTCAGCTTCTATCAACTTGGATCAAACCAACTTCAGCCTAATGTAGCATCCTTGGCAAGAGATGCAGCGAACATTGCTAAAGATAAGCAAAGAGGATTTATGCCAAGTATATTACAGAATGAAACATATGGAGCAATACTTGGTGGCAGTCCACCTCCCATTCAGCCTGCTGTACCTGTTACAAGTAGCGCACCTCCTCTACCTCCAAGGAATATTGGCAAAGGTACTGATGCCGGAAAATGTCATTGTATGTTAGAAGAATGGGATCATAACATTTTTTTTATTATTACATTTTTAGGTTTTCTTTTACAGTTATTTTGCAGAGGTAAGTATTAGAACAGTTTATTGATGACTTCATTTTATATACTGGAAGTGAATCTGCACGACCTGTTCTGAGTTTGATTTTCAGTATACCTATAAGAAAGTACACAACAGTGTTTGGGAAAACAATGCCCAGGTAACCTCAATAGAGTTAAGCAATTTATTAAAAGGAGGGCTGCAGTCAATTTAATTCAGGTTTTCTTTTCTTATACTCCATCTTTTCATACTTCTGTTTCTTGAAGATGTCATTGTCAGCGTTCAATTTAAACATACAATTTCAGTGACATTGGGCTGCTGTAGAAAATTGTTTAAGACCTGGGAGAATGGAGAGTGTGTGCAGAACATGAGAGATTTTAAATTTGCAAAGTTTTCTATTAGTAAATATGTGTTTCAAGGTTGTTGAAAGTGTAAGTGGTGTGATGTGGAGAACTGGATGATTTTAGAGGGAGAACTGGTAGCTGACTGAAAATGTAACTGCCGGTTACTGGTTATGCCCTGATCATCAGAAAAGTGTAAAATGTACATGTCTTGCACTGGTTCAGAAGGATTGTGTGCTTGCAAAATCTACCATTAAAGCTGATGCTGTGAACTTCATTCTTATCTTTGTATGTAATCTGTTTGGATCATATTAAAGAAGCGTAGAGAATTCTATAAAGGTCTTCTTTGAACAGTACATATTCGGTGTGTTTCATTGGTTTAATACCTTTACTAATCCAGCAGCTTTCATGGATGCTAAATTTATGTAAAGCTCAATTGAAGAAAAATGACTATATAGACATATGATTTTCTATGGTGCTATAATTCAGACTCTGTAAGAGGAGACAGGAGCAGGGAACGTTCTGGGCATACGTGAGTGGTTTCTGCCTTTGGGAGCACTGTGCAGAGGTCAGAATGCAAGACTCCATACACCAGTGATTGTGTCTGAGATGGCAAACTAAACATCTGTGTAATATGAAAAGTCAGTTATTGGTCTCACAGGAATGGCTGCAGCATAAAAATTGGATTGAAGTATGTTATTTGGGGGGCAGAAATACTGAGAACAATAGAACAGCATGATATTGGGTTACTTAAAAAGGGTGGCATGAGACTGGGGGAAGTTTAGCAGCATATAAAACTTAACCAAGGTGGGATTCCTTTCATCTAACATGTTTGCATGAAATCTAAGCTTAATATCTAGACACTTCTATTTTACTTCATGGAAATGAATGTTTCCCCCACTAAACAGGGAAGTTCACCCAAGGAGCTTGCATAGTCTGTTTAACTGTTAGATTCTATCTCTAAATTAGTAATACAATGGGATAGTTAAAAAGACTGTTTTACCCTTTGATATTATTTTAATCATGGCCAACCATACTATTTTACTCACTGTTTGCCCTTGATTAAATGACACTTTTCAAAGAGTGTCATTTTAATTTCATTCCCAACTCCAGACTTCTTGGCACCAGTATAGTGCGACTCATGCCAAGAAAGCATGCTGCCTGACTTAGGTTATTAGCTCATATTCTTTACTCTAGCAATGTATTAGCCTATTATTTTATATTCTTAGTTAAAAGCTATAATGGTATCATCAGTCTTAGCTTCTTGTTGATTGCTGATGTTGTGGATGTTATGCTTATGGTGTATTATTACTCCTTTATCCTCTTAGCTTTAGGCTGTTCTTCAAGTCTTCTGAGCCTTTTATGCTTTTGCCTGCAACCTAATATTTATTCATACCTTACTCTGTTTCATCTTTTCTTAATATGATGCTCATGTGCTGAGTAGGAAGAACTGGCATGATATGTGCAAAATACTGGCTTTATGAAGAAAACCTGTAGTGTGTTTTTATGAAATGGGGAGGCAGCTCTACAGCCTAATAATGGAGTCATTTAGGAGGCCCCAAAGAAGTCGTACTTTGTAACTGTTTCATGACTAGTTATTACAGCTTCTTGTTTGGGTGAAATGCAGAATTACAGTTTTATGTCAATTCCAAGTCAAAACTGATGTTTCACTTTGAGTGAGCAATGTCTGCTAATGCTTGTGCAAGAGTGAGGTCCTGTTCTTGCAGTACCTAAGAAGATTACAGCTATCAGTCAGTGATTAAAGAAGGTAGAAAGACTTGCCTTCGGTCTTCTTGTTGAGAAATTCCTGCTTTTTCAAGTGTTGAAATTTTTTAACGAGAAATTTTACTTAGGTAAAGTGTTAGCAAGACTTCACTCAGAAACTTCTATGTAATTTTTTACACTAGACTGATTTCTGCTCTGGCATTCCAGCAGGATGGCAGTGCTTCCTATTGCTGAAGATAGTGGTCTAGCTGCACCATTTTTAAAAGCACGGGTGTGAATATTAACACTTTGTGCTTAGGGTAAGCAATAATAATAATACAGTATTTTCCTCTCTTTTTAGTTCAGCCTTCAGTTCTTGGCAGTGGTATTCAGACAATTTCTTCATCTAATGCAATGTGGAAGACAAATTCTTTAGGAGTGGAAAGTATAAGCAGGCAGAGGTCTTCATCAGATCCACCAGCTATTCATCCCCCTGTGCCGCCATTGCGTGTAACATCTACAAGTATGTTTCCACTTTCCCCTGTTTTCCCTTCTGCTGTATCTAATCATAGTTGGCTTATTTTTCCATTTCCACGATTCATACTTCCTCTTTTGGTGACTGTAGCTTTGGCCTATCGTTCCCATCCAGTAACTTTGTATGCACTGTCTTCTCTGATGTTCCAGTGAGGACTGTATGGTGTAGTGCAGGGTCAACAGGAAATAGTATCTATTACTAGAGCTAAAGAGCTTTTCACTTTATATATATATATATAGTTTCAATGCTGCATTTCCCATTAGTTGTAAAGATGAGTGTTACATGTCGGCCTGGGGCTATGTCTCCACATTGTGCTTAATTCTTGCAGACCATAGGAATGCAAAAAGATGTTCTAATGCATTGGCAAGTGCTGTTGTGGTGGTTTCAAGAATTCAGTAGAAATTTTAATTAATTGCTAAACCTTATGTAAATTTAGTTAGATGTTAATTGTAACTGGATTTTAAGAAAAGACGTTCCTCTCAATAAAATTTCTCAGATACTATTCACTCAGTTACCTTTCCATAAAACATAAACTGAAGGCCTTGATTGAGCGAACAATATTAGCACTTTATTAAATATATTCTGACCTACTGTTTTCAAGAATATGACTGACTTTGGTAAGAGTTTTCTTTGCTTGTACGTTAATGCTTGAATGAATTGAAGTACTTGTGAGCTCTCTGACCTTGACTAGGTGAAACAAAAGGTAAACCTCTTTCCAAAGAGCTCCTCCTTCCAATGGAAGTATTGCTTTCTGTTTAAGTTATTGATTACATGTAGTAAAGCATTTTTCTTGGATGGGGGTAAATCCTGTAATAGGAAAACCTGCAATGAGAACCCAAGAAACAAAATGGTAAATAGAAATTTAATTCCATTTCACTGTCTAACTTTCTTCTATAGATGTGCTTTCTCCAGCACCACCGCCTCCAGTGGCAAAGACAGCCAGCATTATAGAAGCTTTGAACCAGCAATCTAAGCAGCAACCAGCTCCTCCACAAACCAAGCCAACCCCACCACCACTGCCCCCACAACCTCCTAGTAGAATTTCTCAAAGAAAGCCTATTCCTGGGTAACTGATGTCATTTTAGTATTTAATATACTTCATAATTATTAGTAACTTCTCATTTTTGTGGTATATAACATGCAAGTCATCTATAAAGCGTGCCCACTTTTGCCTGATGTGTTCTAGAGTATGGGAATGCACAGAAGGCAGACACTAAGGGAGCAGATTATAAGGATTCCCACAGTAAAAACAAGACTGCCTAGTGATTTAAGATTGTGTGACTTGCAGAATAGCTACAGAATGCTTAGCCATGAGGGAAATAAGAAGCCACAAAGAATAATCCATTTCTAATTCTTATCTGATAACAAAGAAGAGATAATGGGATCTTCTGTCTGATTGTGCCATTTATTGGTTGCATGCTTTGCATAGGTTCAGTTCCAATCAATATTTTCATTCATGGCAGTAGAAGAGAGACCTGGAACAGAAAATAACCATTTTAAAATTGGCAAGAAACAAAGTTAGGAGGAACAAGTGTACTGGAAAACAGGATTATATCCAAAGCAGCCTTGAGAAACTGGAATAGCAGACAAGGGAGAAGAGGGGAATCATTCAGTAAGCAGCACTTAGTGCTTAAGAACAATCAACTACAAAAATGAAGGATGGAGAACAGCAGAGTATGGTTAAGCAAAAGTCCTTAAGAGAAGAATCTGCAAGGACATAGTGAATCATAAATAAAAGTAAGTCAGACAACTCATGTTGTTGTGAAAGAGTCAAAGAGAAATAGTATTGTTTGATTATAGCCTGCAAACTGTAGGAATTAATCCTTCCAATTGACTCAACATCAGTAATGCTTCAGCTGGACTACTGTGTTCAGTTTTGAGCATTGCAGTAAAACAAAGATACAGAATAGTGAGGCAGAAACCAGGGGAGGTCAATAAGGTCATGAGAAGTCTAGAAAATATGACCTATGAGAAAAGTTTGGAAGAAATAAAATTCTCTTATGTTTTTTAAAAAAGAAATTGTAGCATAGATACATCTTCAAATATGTACGAAGTGTTGGATTATGCCATTCCATTTTACATCTCATGACAGCTGTAAAAAAGAAGACTTTTGTTTAAGTTGCGGCAAGAATAATTTAGTTAGACACTAGGGAAAGCTTTCCAAAAGTAAGAGTAGGGATGCACCATAGTAACTTGTCTGGGAAGTTTCTGGATTCTCTGACACTGAAAATTTGGCAGAGTACAGCCTATACAAACTTAAATAGTTATAACATACAGGGACATGTATGTGTATATGTGAGATAAATAACATACATTATTGATCCTTTGTGAATGAAAGAGGTAAACAAGCTTTGACCTTTGAGCTCCCTTTCTAGTCTTTTGATTGCATACAACGTACTAAGTAAAAGGGAGGAGCAACTTGCTGAAGCTTCCTGTAACGTACAGACGAATACAGATATATAATTTTAACACAGAATTTTAAAATAGCAATGAAAGGAACTTCAGAACTTAGGAAAAGAAAATCTCTACACAAATTGCAGTAATTGAACCTATATTATTCTTCTGCCTTAAATTTTTTAATTAAGTGCAACTTATGATTGGCATAATCAAAAATACAGGAGCAAAGTAGTATTTTTAAAAAGAAAATAGCTGTCACCAGAGTATACTGAAGACAGGAAGACATGAAGAATTTTATAATTTGGAAAATCACTCTGTATTGTTGCATTTCAAGTTCTTGTTTGTTTCTTAAATGGATGAATTTCTAACTTTTTGCACAGGACAGAGAAGTCATCTGGCTTAACTAACAAAGGGCAATCCAGAGGACTTGGATCTCTACAACAAACTGGTAATTGTGGTTTAGAGATTTATTTTATTGTAATTAAGCTATCATTATAACAGTCTAAGGGAGAGCGTAGGGGTTTTTTTATTTACCTTGCATATTTAAATACAGCCAGTACCAGCATTCTTGTTGTTTCTCTTCTTGATTGTGTAGGCCCTTATACCTCAAGCTCTTCTGCATGAACAGAGTTACAGGCCAATTAATGTAAATAATGGGGCCATGTAAAAAGAAACAGAATCACAGACTGGTTGAGGTTGAGAGGGACCTCTGGAGGTCACCTGGCCCAACCCCTCTGCTCAAGCAGGGTCACCCAGAGCCAGTTGCCCAGGACCATGTCTACATGGCTTTTGAATATCCCCAAGGATGGAGATTCCACAGCCTCCTTGGGCATGCTCTGCCAGGGCTGGGTCACCCTTAGAGTAACAAAGTGTTTCCTGATGTTCAGACAGCACCTCCTGTGTTTCAGTTTATGTTCATTGCCTCTGGGCCTGCTGTCCAGCTGGGTGGCCACCAGCATATATTGGTGCGTGGGCTTGTTCGTCCCCAGGTGCAGGACTTTGCACTTCCTTGCTCCAGATTTTCCCCTGGTCTCTGGGACCTCTGAAAACCAGTCTTGCTAGTAAAGGCTGAGGCAAAGAAGGCATTCAGTACCTCAGCCTTTTCCATGTCCTGTGTAACCAGATCCCCATCTCGTTCAGCAATGGGCCCACATTTTCCCTAATTTTCCTTTTGTTACCTATGTATTTACAGAAGCCCTTCTTGTTGTCTTTGACATCCCTTGCCAGATTCAATTCCAGTCGGGCTTTAGCTTTCCTAACCTCACCTAAACCCCACTCAAACAAAGGATGCATTATGAAAACTTTAGTTAGTTTACTGTCTTGTTTGCATGTGTCATAAAGAAGGTAACAGATACACATTTTAGAATAGAAAAATGTGTTTATAGTTTGAAAATCTAAAGCTCATATAGTGTCACTTTCAACTAAATTGCAAATCGATATTGTTCTTTTCATGGTAATGAAGAGAGTTCATTATTTGGAGTTCATTATTCATTCTGCACTTTTCGTTGTTCAAAGTAACTACTACTTTGGGACATTACAATAATGTAATCTCAATAAAGTGTCCAAACTAAAGTGTGTGTGGATTCTGTGGTGGTTATAGTAGAATTTCTCCTACCCAGTTTCCCCTTGCACTGTATATATTGTGTTCATTAGTTCTTACTGTGATTCTTTTTTATTCCCCCTTGACATAGCCAAGGAGAATTTGCTAATGACTATCTGCCATCTGTGTCAGGAGTCTCCTGTGAAGGATACAGCATCTTGATAATGATGGTCTCTACTAGGAAAGAAGGGTTTTAAAAGCAACGGTCTGTAGTGAGCGAATGGGGAAATGGGATATTTGGCTCCACTCTTATTTATTTTGTAGGCTTTTTTCTCTTTTAGCATATCTGCAGTATTAAAGGTCTTAGGTAATTGCCTTTGGGAAAAGAGACCTCTTTTGATAAGGAAAAGGATAGAAAAATTCTGTTCAGTTATTTAGAAAGATTATTTCATTTAAAAAATGAAATAATCATGGGCTATAAAATTATTTGTATGCTTTAAAGAATAATTAAGTTGGTTTCAATTTGTATCATCACTCTTACTTTTTTAAAGCATGCCTGAAATTTACTTGTTTTACTTACCTTAGCAGCAGGAGAGTCATCTTCTGTATGTGAAACCCCAGTAACACAAACTGGTTCTACAACAAATACTTTGGCACAGATTCAGCCACCAGCACCAATGCCAAGGAAATCACAAATAGTAAGTAGACAGTCTGGGTTTTGGTTTTATTAAATGTTCCACATTCTGTCAAACGCACTGCTGACATAATAGTGTATGCTCTTACGGAGAAAGTGTGAGAATCATGAAAAATACAAAGGCTGTATCCTGTGTTAAATATGTGCATGACTTCTACTAAGTATTTATGAAAAGTTTGCTTTTCTTGCATTTCCTATATGATAGTATGTGATTTAAAATTAAAACAAAACAACAAAAACCAAAGAGAAACCAAACAAAAGAAGTATGGATTCTTTGCCTGTGTCCAAATGTGACCAACACAATCCACAGAATGTATGGTTTGACTTATTGAAGGCAGATAAGCTTCATAAGTTAGTCACTTGTAGGTGAGCGTGGTGAGTGACTCACTTGTAGATCATATGCAGCTTTGTTCTTCAGTGAAGTAAATAATGAGGGAGCTTTTGCGCTTACTTTTATAATGGAAGTCCATATAGTTGTTCATATAGGTAGATCAAACAGCTTCAAAAAAGACTAGGAGGAGTCAAGCTCCAAAGAAAAGAAAGTGGTTCTTTGTGCAGTTGGTTCTCTTTGCATCTCTTTGTCATGCATTCATGGGGTGACAGGAGAGAAATCTCTTGGTAGGTACACAGAAACCACATCTGACTTGAGGCATCTCCAAACAGAAGGTAGTTTAAGAGTAAAGAGGAAGGCTGGAAGTATCAGGCTGAAAGTACTGTATATTCTTCTCCACCCTCCCCCAGCCTTACAGTGACTGTTAAAAAAGAGATACTGGATTTAGGTGGACTCTTGATCCGATTGTGTGGCCCTTTTTATACTCTTATTTATAATCTAGGACCACGAATGGTACCGCACATATTAGCGTCAATACCTGTATTCTTATATCGGTGTAGGTAAAGGGGTGTATTTCCAGATGTCACTTGAGCTGTACATTATGTGTAGTTCAGCTAGGTCTTTGGTCGTTGCTCTAATTTTACATTGCTCTCTTGTGTAATAGACATAAAATATCCATATGCTTGATTATGACAGTATTTCTCTGCAGTAAGCAAATCACAATATAGAGAGTCCGTACTTTCCGAGATGTTGTATCTGACTAGGTCTGGGCTGTTTCATGCTTTACATTCTGTGTAGGAGCATGCTTCAGTAGGTAAATAATAAAATGAGAGACAGGAGACGTGCTGTTCCTGGTTCTGCAATTTTCTTATTAATAGGCTGTAATGAAAAGACCTTCCTCCTTCAGTCCTCTGTCTCTCTCCCTTCATCCTTTTTTCCTTAACCATGCCTACTAAAATAGTAACTCTCTTGGACAGACTTCAGTGTGTTTGTGTGCATAGCCTTGCATGTTTGTCTTGAGCTCTTGGAACTCCTGTTAGCTGTTTCTCATCTGATAATGCTGAAAAGCCACAGAAACATCTGGAGTTCATCTTGCATTTAGTTGGGAGTATAAAATCTTCTGGTTTTTTGCCTCCCTCAATCTTGTTCAACCAAGTTACTGACTGTCTGCATCAAAATATCTTTCATGGTTTAGACCACAATAAAATTAAATGGTCTACGTAGTGTAAAATGGAATATCTATCCCTTTTGCTTACATGCACCATGGGAATTGCCATATTTACTTTGTGAAGCTATTGGACCCTGCTTGCAATTTCTGTTGTGTGTTCTGGGATTCAGGTGAGACCACTGGCTTCATCCTTTCAACACATCCATTGGTTCTGAAACAGCTGCTTACCTGGCTTTCTGTATAAATTAAAGTTGTATTAGTTTCTCTATCTTGTTCTCTCCTTTTTTGTTTTATAGGACAAGTTGCTTTGGTTATGAGTGAATGTGGGCTATCCTGGGTAGTTTCTAGGATCAGTCAGTGTCTCCACTGTTTAATATTAATTGCACATAATAAGAAGAACAAATCTAACTCTCCAGATGTCTCTAGGGTCAATTTTATGACTGAGAAAATCAGCTGGACAATTTCCTTCTGTCATAGGACAGAGAAGTATGGGAAACCTGGCTCAGGGAGTGTGTGCTACTTAACATGCTTTAGCTAAATCAATCTAGCTAAAGCATCTTAGCCGAGATTTAGTCAAGGGACTCTAAGCTAAAGAGCTTTGGCTAGATCAGTCTAGCTAAAGTACTTTGGCTGAATTGCTCCATTTAGCCTTATACTCCGGCCTTTTTTGCTACGCCTTTACCTTGCCAGAGAATCCAGAGGCCAGCCCAGATTTAGGAAATGATTGCAGAAGTGCTCCTTGAGTAAGGAAAAAAGAGGCCCAGGTGTACATACACATGTAGCCAGTGGTTTATCTCCTATACAGTGGATTTGTCTGATAGCACGTTTTTCAGGTGGAAATTCCTGATGTGTCTTTTTTTTTTTTTCCCCCCAATGTTTATTCTAGATTTTTTGAAATTATATTGTAGGTACATGGGAAACTTCCCTGGAAGATTTTAGTCTTCTGGGAATGGGCTCTATTTTAATTTCCTTGCCTTCCAAAGAACAAGAAATACCTGTAATTACTGCACTTTGAAGTTAGTAATTATATCACTGTTTTACTGATGTGGAGCTTTTCCCTCTTGACCTAAAAGGTGGTTGTGGTTCAAACTGTAACTTGACTGAGAGGGAGCATCTGGCAGAGTTGCTATGATGCAGTGCAAAGCTGCCGACTCACAGGGGTGTGCCCCACAGACAGAGCCTAAGGATATGTCTCGTCTGGGCAGGCCAGATTTTTCATACTAAAATGCAAATGGATGCTTACAGAGGAGCATAACAATCATGCTACCTCCCTCCTTCCCCATTCACATCCCTCTTTTTCTGCAGGGCATCCTGCTGTAACAAAACGGCACATTAAGAGGCTGTTGGGCAGTGCTGTCCACAGCAGAGGATTTTGCTGGTGAAGAAAAGTAGACTTGTCAATAGAGTCTCTTCTCCCCTTACAAGCTTCCTGCTCCATGGCTGACCTAACTAGAGACTGGGACCAGTCTCTGGGGGACTCCAGGGTGGTGAGGAGACCTTCTTTTCTTTATTCCATCTGGAGCCTCTGTCCCAAACACCCACTGCATTAACAGACATCTCTTGACCTAAATGGCACTTACAGCTCTGCTCTGGCATCTTAGGGTAGAAAGGAGAGATTTTTGCTGGCTATGGCTGGGCAAACTAGGGAAGAGGGTGGACTCAAGGTAGACAGCTTATGCTCTGCCTCCAGGTCCTGTGCCTCTTCACTCCTTGGGTGGAAACACTGTGTAGGTAGCATTACCGTTAGTCTGCAACAGAGAATGAGGAGGCTGAAAACAAATGCAGCAGCTGGCCGGGTTGCACCGAGAGAGGTGTGAGTTTAGCGTGGTGGATACTGTGATACCAGAGCAAAACAATTTTGGCATCGCATCAAATAGAACACAACTGGCATTGGAGTCCCACTGCAGTATTGCAACTCCTTACTAAACTTTCCTCTTGGAAGAATTGCCAAACCACTCCTGTGGCTTGGAGTCCTCATAGCACTACAGAGAAGCAGAGGATGTTTTGGAGGGTTTGTACACTGCCGAGATGGGTTTAGCAAATTAAGGAGGGGCATATCGGCAGGTGGCTCAGGCCTCTTTCTGATAATGTTGCTGCTGTTACACTTGCTGATCTTGATCACCCCATCTTCTGAATAAAATCGTACTCACTGAAGACAGGTTTGGATGAGCCAAAATGGAAGATTACTAAGGAAACCGGCCCACATTGGTGGCACAGTGGTTCTAAAAGGCTTTGGATGGTGCCAAATTCAGCCTGAAGCAAGAGCACCCAGCATAAAAGATGTAGCTGAACTCTAACCTGTTAAAAGTAACATTGGTAGCGGTTCTGAAGCTTTCTTTAGACCAACTCTAAGTCTATTCTGTCTCTTCTGTGCTATATTATTTACATTTACTTATTTTCATATTTCAGTCAAAAACTAAACCCAAGAGAGTAAAAGCGATTTACAACTGTGTAGCAGATAACCCAGATGAGCTAACTTTTTCAGAGGGAGATATTATTGTAGTTGATGGTGAAGAAGATCAGGAGTGGTGGGTGAGTATTTTGTGTTTTCTATCAACACACTTTGAAAGAAATAAATGAAATCTAGAGGTTGACACTGATTTCAGAAGATCCCCTGCTGGGTTTCCAAATAACAAGAAAAGTTTCATCTCATGGAAACTTGATTCCAGAAGTTTCTTTTGTTCAAAAAAATCAAACTTCAGACAAGTTTTTAGCTTTTCTCATTCAGAAAAAAAAAAATGAAATCTGATTAGTAGGGTTCCCAGTACTCAGGGGACACGATCTGTGTGATTCAGGAAATTCGTGGGAGGTGTCAGCAATTTAAGAATCTGCTAGTATTACAGATGCTGTGTGGTGGGCCTCAGAAGACAGCTTTGTATTGTCCTAATTCTTCAGCTGACTGAGATTGAGAAATGGTCTATTTGAGTTGGGAAACCATCTCAACTATTTACATTGCAGAGTCTCATCAGCTAAAGCAAAGTCTTGGGAAATTGTTATGCATGAAAACACTTGCCTTACTCTGTTAGCTAGCAAGGAATAGAACTTGAGATTGCATCTAAAGTGACAATAATGCTGTATAAACACAAATAGATTCATGTGAAATGCAAAACTGTTGAAGCTTGATCCATCTGTATACCTTTAGGTGATTGTTAAGAGGGGGAAGCAGAAGCAACGTAACAGAGGCAGAATATGGGCTGTTATGCCCATACTGCAGGGCATTACAGAATGCGCTGCAACGATGCAGCAGTGGTACTGCATTAAGAGATGTTGCTTTCAAAGACCTGGATAAAAGATTTGAATTTGAAAAAAAAATAGCTGAAAAACAAATGCACCCTGTAGGGCTGAGTTTTCCCATTCGCAAAAGAAAACCACCACTACTGCAGAAGAGATGTAGGGAGAGGCTTGTTGTACTACGGGCAGGAAGGTCACTGGGATTCATTTTGGTGATACTGAAATGCCATTTTTAACTTGAAAAATATCTGGACTCTTTCAGATTGGACATATTGATGGAGATCCCAGTCGGAAAGGAGCTTTCCCTGTATCATTTGTGCACTTTATTGTTGACTAAATTGCTACTGATAAGTGGAGACATTTCTCATTTCCAGCGGTCACAGAAATAAGTTTTGTTCTATTTCATTTCATCTACCTATCTACAGACACCTTGCCAGAACACTGCCCAAGTCCTAGGTACTGTAGCTTACTTTTTTATTGCCATCATTCTGATTTTGGGACTTTCAGAACTTTTTTCTATGTGAAAACTTCTCATGAGCAGCTTACACTTTAAAAAACCCCAACTCTTCCTGTATTTTTCAAGGTGAACTGAAAAGCTTTAACAATCAAAATCCATGTAAGTGTGTGAACATCACAACGTTATGAATGTTCTTTTCAATCAATTCACTGTAATTTTATTCTCCCTTTTGTAACATGACAATACCACAGTTCAGTGTTGCTTCCCCAGTCAGAGAAATTGTATGCATCTAACAGGGCAGTGAATTTATCCAATTCTCGATACCGTTTGAACTGTTGGAACCAAAACATGCAAGGTGCTGTGTATTTCTAAACTGGACTCATTCAGCATCTTGCCGTACTGGCTGTCGTCCAGGATATCAACACTTACAGAAGAAACGATTTTAATCGGGTATCTTTGGCCAGGTAAAAGTGAAAATGTATTTCAGTTTACCACAGGAGAAACGTCTTTCTTTCAGAATGGATGTAGATATTTGCTTAAAGTTATCTGAAATCTGTGTTAGTCGTTGGAACTTTCTAGTTCTAATTTTGTGAGCTTGAGACTGTTTCATTTTTCTATGCTGCACGTGTGTAGAACCTGTTTTTTGAATGTTCTTTATGTATGTTACATCCATTCTGGTCATTTAATGTGACTACTGCTGGTTAACTAAACTATGGCAATATTAACGAGTTACTACATTAACTCAAGGATATGAAAACTGCATTTCCTGAAATGTACTTAACTATGATGATGGATTGCAGAGCATTTCTTACACTCGTCTCATTATAGTGTTTAGACTTTGTTTTTAAATCCCTGGATTTTCTTAAATCATCCAGCAGTGTGTTCACAGAGAGAACATACTTGGTGGAACACTTAGATAATTATCCTTGGTCAGTAAGGTATCTGACACCTCACAAGTACACTATGTTATGTTCTGTTTTATAAAATTTGTGTGCCACTACCTTGCAAGCAAGGATAGTTTGCTAACTCACTCTGTATTTATGTAATAGACCCACATATATGGTAGCTACACTGTTGTTAAATTTGGTTTACTAATTTGTGAACAAAGGCTAGGCCATGGATAGTTCCCAGTTGGTTGATGGAATACAAAACACCAACACAAATCTGACGTCATTTTGATGTTTGTATATTGTGAAATTGTACCAAGTTTTGCTTATGCTACAGGAAACAACTGATGGCATAGGATAAGAAAAATCAATGTCTAGGTCACATTGGCTTTGATCACGTTTTGTGAATATTGTATCTCTAGATTTATCAAGAGAACTTTGAATTTCTGACAAATGGTGTTTAAATTGGCCATTTCATATTGAACGGAATGGAAAACAGGCCGCCGCCATATTTGCTTATTTGGAGAAAAATCACATTGCGTTAGTGCTGGAAGAGCAACACTGATCCTACCTTGTATCGCCTTTCCTAAATGGTACAGTTGGTTGAGAGCCTCTCAAATGCATGGGTACAACCAAGTATACACCTAACTTTCATTTCCTAGATGCTGTTGCTGCAGTATAAATGGGGAACAAACTGGAATGTTTCAAGATGTTTTTGCTGCAAGTTGAAGCAAATTAGTCCGTATTTTCAAAGTTCCCAGTAAAACGACAGAGTAATAGTTTAGCACTACAGTTTTATTCACTTACTGATACGTTCAGTTTGCAACACTATTTTGTATGTTTCTATCCCTGATAGAGTCTAGAGAGTAAATGGGCATATTATTTTGCACAGATCTCCTAATGTACAGTATTTTTAACACAGAATCTTATAGTTTATGTAACAACTCGTAAAGTTAAACAATGATGCAAATTTTCCTTGAGTTCTGCTAGAAGAGGAATACGCTTTAAAATGTCACAACCTTGTTCACTCATCACTTAGAAACTAGGAAACTTGTATTCTACAACTTAATAGCACTAACAGTGCCAGCAGATAAAATCTTGAGGACCAATAAAGAGCAGCTAAGCAAAATTTATCCCTAGATTTTCGATGTTCCTCAAAGTTTGCTCCTCTGGCAGAGTAAAAAGAAATTCTAGAGCCTGTAGATACCTATTTATAATATAAAATTAAGAATTTTAAGTCCAAAATTTTGGCATATTTCATACAACTTTTCAAATCTGATTAAAATAATGATTCAAAAAAGCTGTTAATAGACAGACTATTAGGTTGCTGTGTTAACTGTTTAAAAAGGAGCAAGTGACACTTAAAATGCAGCTTAGAATGCTATGAGATGTATAATATTCAATTCAGTTGTTTTTATTTTGTTTAGTTGCAGAGCAACTGTATATATTGTATAACCTAAAATCAACTCTTATTTTCAATGTCCTGGATGCAGTGATTTATAATTAGAGCATGATTAATAAATTTTACTCTTGTTAACCAGTCAAATGTCTGGAAAAATAAAACTACTTTTAAAATCACTTTGGCTACTTCTGTTACTCTGCCTTGCTTAGGCAATATTGCTCTTTTTAACATGTAAAATAAGAAATGCAAACAAGTAGCACTTCATCAAAAAAATTTACATCTTGTGGATTTTTAGTTGAACGTACAAACTGTGTAGATGGCACACCTAAGATCAAATTAGAGGTGTAAAGCACCAAATGACTACCTTTTATCTCTTTGCTCTTGTTGTTTTGCTCTAGTATCTAGCTTAAACAGAACTGAAGTCTATACTAACAAATTGTTTTCCAAACAAAGAGATAGAAGCAAGTATCAGTTTTATTTTACATTTCTGCAATATTGACATTAATATACAAAACATGATTTAGGAAAACAAATCGTGTTAAATATAAAATTCTGTATTGTGCTGGAAACTGAAGATGGAATAATTTCTTCAAGTCATGTTTGAGGGATGACAAAGTACCATGTGCAAGGTTGCACAGCTCTTTGCACAGCAAGTCTTTTCTAGGTTTGTGTGTACCTACAGCCAGGCTATGGTATCAGGAAGAAGCCCCATCTCCTCCCCACAGAAAGGCCTCTTGTGCTACACGGTCACGTGCTACTGAAGAAAATCAGGACTTCTCCGACATTAAAACTGAATCAAAGGCTGTAGATAACACTTTGCAAATAGCTTGTGCTTGCTCCTAAAAAAATGCAAACACACACATTAACACGTTCTGAAGAACTTCTAAACATCTCAAAACTCATTTAAAGCAGAATGTGACCTTTATCGTTCTTTTGGCAGACATGCAAAATGGAGTAGCACAAGTGAGATTTAATTTGATTTCTGTGGTCTGCAATGACATGTGGGAAGCTGTTTTAAATGAGCTCTTTTGAAACAAGTCAGAGTTGTTAGCTTTCATCATAGCATGACACTAGCATTCAGAAAGTCAGTTCATGTGTTCCTCCAGTGCTGCTAAGGGTGTGTGTCATATCATAGCATCTTGACAATAAAGTCTCCTACTCTTAAGAAGGGATCGCTTCCCTTGCTTATAAATATGAATGCATGCTCTGTTACCAGAACTGTTACTCGATCCCTCCCTGCTCTGTCCACTCTTAAGAGGTTTTTGTCTTTGAAAAAACAAACGGAGGATTGTCCTTAGCAGCTATGATTGCACTCTTTAGATTGCAAAGAGCTTCCTGGGGCGTATACATTCATTGGCAATTTTAGGGAATGTGGGTATTTTTCCTCAAAGCTGATCAAATGCAGTCAGCAGAGCTTTTCTCCCCTCCTCAGCCAGGACACATTTATACTCTTTTTTTAATTGAGCAATCCTCCTTCTGCCAAAAAGCCTTCATAAGGGCCTTTGGTTTTCGAATCTCTCTTTACAATCAAAATACTGATGCCTAAATTAAATACTGTAAACATAAACTCTTACCAAACTATTGCACTGATATACCCAGAGGCTGCATTCTTCAGAGGCTGCATCTGTTGTCTTCAAAGCCAGTAAACTTTTTCCTGCTCCCAGACCATCATCATAGCAGACCATCCGTACAATTAAATAGAGAGCATGCCTATGTAACACATCCTGAAACCACGTGGCAAATAAAAGTTACTCTGGAACAGTGCAACAGCTATTTCAGTTTTCCACCTGTTTTTGTTCTTTCTTTTACTTCAGATTTATTTACAGGAGAAAAATATTCCTGGGTAAAATTGTATGTTTTTAATTGAGAGTTTAGTCAGGATTTAAAAAACATAAGAGGTGGTTTAACACAAATTTAGCTTTAATTTTTGCTTCTATTTTAGAATTGCATTTGTACGTGGACTATATTCCTGGCCATGCTACAAAAGCACATGTTTGTTTCCCACCTATCCTCACTCAACCTCTGTCAGTAGGACAGGTGGTACGCTCTCCACCTCTGGCACAGAGGTAACTTAAAACAACTTTTTACTTCTCTCGTATTTCTCCAGACGATCCCCTGTCTCAGTTCTGAGAAGGGCACACAGGAGAAACTGTTCCCCGAAGAGGGTATGGAAGAGGTTAGTTGCTTTGGGGCGTGGGTAGCCATTTGGCTATAGCCAGGCCAGTTGTGGCCTGAGCCACAGCATGGGTCCTGACTCTTGCAGAGATCTACTCTGGGAGACTTCTACTCTCCACCGCAGTTGCAGGTTTCACCACAGTCACAACAGTTCTGATCTTGGCCATTCCAAAAAGGGATTGGTTGATGTTGTCCAGTACAAGGTCATTGCAGACCTCCCTACACAAAGCCTTTCTTCTCAAGCCATCCTACCCAACCGATGAATATTCATCTGGTTTATTTCAGTCATGCCACCTCTACGGTCTAAGACTTCAAGACAGCTCTTTTTCTATGTTCATAGCATCAAACACCTTGTCCCTATCAGTAGCTGAAGGATCTGAAGGAACATCCACTTCAACACAGAAGCTGTAAAAACAGACAGCGAGCTTGATGCCTGCTAGGAAACCCATGAGGGAGAGACCTTTACCAGAGCTCCTAAGATGATCCTTCCTGAAAAACATCTCCATCCCTGACATTCACTCGGCAATCGCTCACAATTATTCATACCATCACTAACTATCATACCACGCTGACAGCAGCTGAAGCTGACCGGGAGCCTCCTGGATCAGCCCTCCGGTCTCTGTATGAAAGATGCCAAGATTTCCCTCCAAATTACTTGTAACTTTTCAGAGTTATTTGCTTGGAACCTGCTACAGTGCTAATGTGCATGTGGATTATCACTAAAAGAGGGAAGATAGAATTCTTCAAAGTACATGATCCCTCTGTAAATTAACTTCCTCCCCTCCCTCCAGTATTTGGCTATGAGGGGTTTCTGCAGTTGGAAGAGGAATAAGATGGCGGATGGACAAACTGTGCCGTATGTGTATGTACATATATATAGTGTACAAATACACCCAAACAGAATGTGACGAAGGCCAAAGCCTCAGTGTGACTTCTATACATACTTCACCTTTGGTTTTTAGTGGCTGCATCCACAAACAATGGAAATGTGTCACTAAATTATGTATCTGTACGAAATAATTTCTCAAACATTGGCTGAAATCCATGATGAAAAATTTTGTATCCTGCAGTCAGTTCTCTTTTTGGCATCTGGAGTAAATAGCTGCCTATTCACCTGCAAAGGTATCTACAAATCACAGAACTCTCACTTTTTTATTCAGTCATAAAGACTGAATTCTTTGTACAAATGCAAAGAAAACCTTTCCATCTTGGAACTCTACACAAAGAGTTAGGTGGACTAACACGCTAAAGGACAAATTAAATGTCAACAGTGATACAGATGCAAAAAGCCAGAATTTGGGAAACAGAATGCAATGCAATAAAATGCCAGGGCAAGCTAGCTTAATCACAGAAGGCTTTATCAGCTTGTGCATGCTTTCAGCTTGAAGACAGAAGAATGATGAATAAAAGTCTTAAAATTACCTATTTGATCTTTATCAAAGTACAAAGAAATTTAAGTAATAGTGTAACCTACGTTCTCAATGAGAATTAAGGATTTAGGAGGACAGCAAAAACAGAACCCAAAAGAATTCAAAGTTTGAGTAACAACTACTCCACTTCCTCCCAGGCATTATAAAACAAGTGTTTTATTTTCTGAAGGGACCAAAGGAAACTTTCTTGCTCTCTTCAGAGTATTTAGCTTTTGAGCAGTGCTTTTCACTGTCCTCATACTCAAAGCTTTTATGAACAGGCATTGCTGGGTTGTTGATGGGTCATGACTTCATAAGGCCAAGTATTTATGGTATCTGGGGCTCTGAGGGCAACCAGAAGGAAACCACATGGCTGCAATACAAAGCTACACAAAGGCAACTGGAGGGCCCTGGGGAAGAGACCGGATTTTTATTTTTAGCAAAAAAGCTGCTTGAAGTGCGCTAAAGGAAAATAAACTACATGAAGGAAATGATGCAAACAAAAAATAGGCTTGATCAATAAAGTGGAATCATGAAGCTTTAATGCTGGAGTGAACTCAAACTCGTGGATTAGGAATGCAAGGCTGGAACTTTAAAGAGGATGACAACTCAGGTATTCTTGGAAAAAAATCCCATCCTTTATTTTTTCCTCTCCACAATAACATCAACAGGAATTGCATTACTAACTCAGGCTGAGGAACCTATAGTCTTGGCCACCACAGTGATGCTACTTTTCCACATGAGAGGATGGCAGGACAGCCACAGAGAAAGGAAGATGTGCCCCAAGAGCATAAAGGCTTGCTTGCCTTTTGTCTGGTGCTCTACCTCAAAAGGAATGGATTTTTGTCATAAATCCAAGCAATCCAACCAGGAAAATACAGAGAGCCCTGAGGAGATAGGGCATGAAGCAGTGCTGCTGCGAGAGCTTTTGTGGTTTTGTTTTACCTTTGCTTAAAGCCAGAAGTGACATTTTGGTCACACAGATCATCTATCAGAGTGATAAATGAAAGCACTTTGCAACTCTCACCAAAAAGACAGTTTGTTGTGAATCACTTACATACTGATCAGATGTTGAAACTTTAATGCCATATTTGGAAACTCCCATAATAAACTCCTCTTCACCTGGAACAAAAGGTAACTTTCCATCTTGCTTTGGAGGGAAACAAACAAAAGCCTTTAGTGCAGACAGAAGAACATAAACAACCAAGATACCTAATAGAAAATGTGTCTATGTATACATCAGTCCACTGGATCAGCAACATCACTAACTCTGCTCATATCTTCCTGCATGGAGCCTGCCTGCCACTCTTGCACTCATCCAGTCTCTTACCATTATGTGAAATATATTCAGGGGAGGTTCAGACTGGACATTAGGAAGCATTTCTTTACCAAGAGGGAGGTCAAACCCTGGAACAGGCTTCCTAGAGCGGTGGTTGAGGCCCCAAGCCTGTCAGTGTTTAAGAGGCATTTGGACAATGCCCTTAACAACATGCTTTTAACTTGTTGTCAGCCCTGAAATGGTCAGGCAGTTGGACTGCATGATCGTTGTGGGTCCCTTCCAACTGAAATAGTCTAGTCTAAATATTACGTGATTCCAGAAAGGAACTGATCATCTCGGGGGGAGTTTGGCCCTGTAGTCAAATCAAATGGGCTGAAATATAATGCATGCCCTGTCACGTTGCGCTGACCCTAGGTGATCTATGTTCCACACTGGCAGCAATTTTGCTATTTGGCTGTAAAAATAGTTTCAGCATATATTCAGATACTTGAAATTGTCAAGCTGCTGTAAGATAGACATTCTGTGCTTTTAAAGATACAAATGATCAGCTACCTAATGAGAACAACCAGTTACAGCTTTTAGTACAAAAATAAGTACAAGCAACCACAGTTTGGCAAGAATGACCCAAATATTATTCAGGTTCTTTGGTCACGGGTTCATAAGTGATTGTAAGCAGAAACTTGACATTTTCTTCTATGGGAAAACTTCTACAGTACTGAGGAAGTCTGGAGGATATATTCTTTCCCAGATACTAATCCTAACAGTGCTGAAGACAATATAACAACTTTCAGGTGGGCTACTGGTTCAGCAATGACTCATGAAAAGGGCCTTCACACTAAGCCTGCTTCTTCAGAACAGCTTTTTGGGTGCATCTTCTCCAGTTACTCAACAGGATGGAATTGAGTGTGACAGCTTTTGAGATTCATAGCTTAATGTTTTTTAAAGTAAACTACTTTATACTAGTAAGTCTAAAATTTACAAAGAAAGATGTCAGATCACATGATAACATAAAAGAAATACATCTAAGCTTAAGATGTTCTGACATTGTTGGTGTTGTCTTTTGTAACCCACTTACCTGTGCAACATCTATGTAATTTATCAAGTCCAATGGCCCTTCGAGACTTTTGCTCTCATTGTATTTCAATTTTTCAATGGCACCAACATATTTAACTCTGAATTCTGCACACGTATCAGAATTACTATTGCTTTGTCCTGCAACAAAATAAAACAGAGCAATTCTGAAGAATTACAGAACAGTAATGCTATTCTAATTGGTGTTAACAAGGCTAACTTACTACATTCGGTAATTTTTGCAGATTTTCATCAAACACTTAGCCTTATCACAGTATATTAACTCCTGTCTTTAATGAACTGTTCTGGGTTGATTCAGAACAGCCCTTGGTAAAGGCAACAGTTTCATATGAATCCATGATACAGCATTGTTTATACTAATTCAAATTTGTAGTTAACAACCTTGTATCAGAAAACTCAGAAAAGCTGGTTCTACTTTTCTACATATATTTGTTTTAAATGAACTATTTAGTGCAACAGTGATGGGCTGTTATCTGGTGAGCAAGAACAAGTAAAATCAAATCTTATTTCCATTATTTCAGTGCAAATGTAAAATTATAAAAGCAGGAAACATAGCTTCCAAAAAGTTATACCAGATTTACGCTGTGTAACAGACTGGTAACGCAACCAAGTTTTTCTTACTCAGACACTTTACTTCAAAAACAGTGACTTCATCCTGGATGAATCATTAATAATACTTTAGAAGCCTAGAACTATGCATGCATTAGTCAACAGGCTATCTATCAGATTGACTCACAATTATTAAAAATACATGTTTTAAGCTTTTCCATTTTCTGCTCTTTTATATGAACACGAATAAAGTTAATCCTGCTCCATACATATCTGCTCAAACTCTAATTACGTACCTGAACTTTTTGTGGAGTCTGTATCTAGACTAGCCACAGTACTAGACCTGGAAAGTCCCCCAAGACTGGAATCTACAGACTAAGAAAAAAATTAGTATCATGAGAAAGTTCCTGAGAACATATTAACACTTCACTTTCAGATGCCCTGCCTCAACTCTTTTTTTAAAATAAACTAGTGTTTATATTCTAATTACTTAAGCAGCACTGCAAAATGGGGAGAAAAAAACACCACCACCTATTTCTTTCCTGAAGTTATCTTTCTGCCTCAAAGTAGATCAGACCAATATAAATTCAATTGAGAAGTCCACAAGTATTTTGAAAGAAGGAGGAAATAAAAGAAAAAGAGAAAATGAACCTTAAGGTTATGTCCAGACTTTTCTGGTACTGCATCTTAACTTGAAGGAATTGACAACTACATGCTTGTCACCAATGCTTGAAATAACATAGCAGTGCAAGGGAAGTGAAACGGCACCTTGGAAAATCCAGAATATTCAACTGATCATTCCAAAACCTATCAGACAAAATGGACACATTATTCAAAATGAAGAATACTTTTTAGAGATACCGAGTAACCAACTAGTACTGAAGAATAAACTCATTCTTGGCACCTAGCATCAGGCACCTTCTTAAAGACATTTATCACTACAGAACATACGTACTACTTCCTCCTCCAAACCTTACTATGTGCTGCCAGAAACTCTTGTGTTCGAGGGGTTCACTATGGAAGCAATCGAGCATTCATCTCAGAATACAAAGGCTTTATAATGGATACGGCTTTTTTAACTCTCATAACACAATCTGAGGAATAGTAGAAGTAGAAACTTCTCCTTGTGGAACATGGCATTTTATGGAAATGACTTCCTAACATCAGTGCAAGTGAACCACTGAACTGTCAACGTGTAATAAACCAAAGTGCTTCCATAAACAGAGTATATACCAAATTCAGCTTACCTTGCTTTTAGTACTGATTTCACTGCTTTGTGAGCTGCTGCTGCTGTGTCGTTTTTTTCCTTTTCTAAACATTTTTTCATAATTGGATCAAGGAAGATCTTCTAGGTAGGAAAAATAAAAACTAAAGTTGTCATATCATCAAGGGAAGGAGTTCCTGGCAAACACCAGTATGACTGTGTCCAAAGTGGACAAATACTAGAAACTTGTGAAGGACTGAGAACGGAAGTAGGAATGTTCCTCTGGTGCTCTTCATGCGTGACTGGGCAAAGTCCCTCAAGCTGTCTGCCAAAACTTCCCTGTCCTTCTGCTTCATCAAAATTGCTGCAACCTAGTTTACAGACTGTTGCAAAGGTCGGTTTCTAATGCATATAAAGACATAGGTTTAGAAACAAGACAAAATTTAAAAATTATATTCCCATTTAAAAACATTAGATGATTTTTGTTTGTAACTACAATCTAAGTGCCCTACAAAGTGCATCCAAGGCAATCCCTGCTCCAAAGATTATGCTCCCATTAAAAAAACAAAACCAAACCAAAAAACCTCCAGAACCCCCCCGCCCAAAACCCAAAAAACCCTACTTCTGAAGAACTACTGATTGTAATACTGCTAGGAGCAGCCATTACTACTTAACACGTTCCTGAAAATTAAAGCAAGAAGCATGTTACATTTCCTGCCTTAGAACTGAGTTACTGAGGGTTCTGAGAGTATTCCAGAATCATTTTTCTTGTATCGACCCTACTATTTCAATTGCTTCACTTAACATTTGGCCAGCCACTGTCAAGAAGCAGGATGCTGGCTCCCAGTCAAGGCGTGCTGAAACCCTATTTAAGATGTACAAGGAGAAGCTTGGATCTGTGATGCACTGCTGGATTACAGTCTCCAGACTGCTGCTGTGTTTGTCATTAAGCAAACACTTGGTCCCTGACAGACCAAAAGCCACTCCCGGCAACAAGGTGCAGCAAGGAACCGTGGTACCCAGCACATACCCAGCACACCCACGTCCCTCTGGGCTCCTTCCAGCCACCCCCACGCGTCTAGCAGCCCCTCCTTCAGAGCAGCAGGGAGCTGCTAGAACACAAGCAAATTTGCCGATTCTGCCTGTAGTCTCTGAGAAAGGCACAACTTAATATACGCTACTTCACAAGCTTTTTTAATACAGTAGATGATTAAGGAGCTCTTCGGAGCTCCTTGCTTAGCAGACGCGCTTTCTGCGGTGCATCTGTTCCGCTGCGGATGCGGGCCGGGCCGCGTCCTGCCCCGGCCTCAGGCCTCCGGGTTCTGCGGCGGGGCGAGGCACGGAGAAGCCAGGCAGGGCAGCACCGCACCCCGCGTTTTGATTTTCTTCCTGTTTCTACCTCTAGCCCC